GAGTTAGAGAGCAACCAAAGTCCATGTGAATGCACATAGCACGTTGGCACATCCCAACTGGTGAAGAGCGGCTCAGGATATTTTCTAACAGCCCTTTTATTCTTCTGAAGTACCTCTACATGTTTAGTGCCATACTGCAGAATCTAGTGTTCTCTGAATGTGTTTATACAAATAATATTCTGTATAAGGTGCCAGTACAATAATACTCAGTTAAGGAAAAGGAAACCAAAATCCAAAGAGACCAAATGGCTGCCTGTGGCTTAGCATGACATGGAGCTCCTGACTTTGTCCCATGAACAGCTCATCATATTCCAAGCTATTTGAAAGCAACTTCTCTTTGTCTTATCTAACCATGACTGTCCAAATCTGCATTTGTCCCAAACCTGCAAACACTCTGGGACAGCTGCCTCCATTTTGGATCCTTCATCTGCTTTAGCAAGCAACCCAGTCCATGCTTTTCTACTTCCTGGTGACCATTCACTAACCCACTCAGGCTGCTGGCTCCTGGCTCTCTGCTGCACTACTCAGACCCGTCTCCCTTGCTCAGCCAGGAGAAGGGGAGATATCCCTGATTATTTTCCTGCAAAACACTCCACGTGTTCAGCATTAGAGAGTGAGTGATTTGCTCATCTATTGGCTGTGCATAATGCGGGTTGATGTTACGTACATGAGTTGCAAATGAAACCTGGGAGGGAATGAGCCAGGTAATAGGAAACCACTTCTGGGGATGGCTCAGCAGATGTCTGACAGCAGGCAGAGTCATCTTCATGTCTGTCCTCATGAGTGATTCCACATGCACCTACAGCACCTTCTGGGTCTCTATAGAAATGGAGATGCATCAGCCTTGTTCCTCAGGATCCCACTGCTGTCACTGGTTCCCCTTCCTCTTTTGGCTGTGTGAGCTCTTGTTCTGCTCTGGTTTGGGATATGGTGGAGCAAGAAGAAGTGAGTTGGACTGAGGTAAAGGTCTTGCCATCAGCTTGATGGCAGTGAGAGTATCTCCATCCTGTTGTACTCTCAAAGCTTATTAAAGGTTGTGGTCGCATTTGTTGTGCATGTGACATGGCATTCTTTGTTCTGAAAGACCTGGATTGCTGATCTTTTTTTGCCTTCTGTTTGTATTTTAGCTACATTTACAATTGGACTATTCTTATTGTGGTATAATATTCTTCACAGACACAATTTTTTACTTTTCCAAAGTTATATTTGCAAAACAAGTAATTTTCTTCAAATAACCTTCTTTTGACCTTGCTACCAAATACAGCACATTCAGTCTCATCCATTTTAATTCTCCGAATTCACACAAATAATTCTTAATGTGCCTCTGGTTCATTATGATTTACACTGTACTGATGTTGTGCCTTACCAGCCTTGTTCTATTTTGCTGGACATCATTAAACATCTAACAAAAGGCAGGCTAATCAGACAGCCTTCAGCTTCCTTTTATCTGGTCAGGAAGTGAAGAACCAGAATTTTTGACTGATATTGGGTTGGAGATGGGGAACCCCATGGTCCAAGCACATCACTGGTGGGAGATGGTTCATGTTACTCACACCCTGCGCCCATCCCCAGCCACTTCTCTGTTTCCTGCTCCACAGCCACTCAGGGAGTAACTGGATGGTGTCCCTCGGGCTTAACTTGAAAATAAACACTTTACATGGACAAATGTGTGTAGTGCTCACGGGAAGCAGCAGGAACATGAGGATGCATTATGTACTGCACAGCGCTAGAGGGAGCACAGGAAATGGGTCACTGGAAAGGAAGGAAGCTGAGAGAATGTTCATTTCTTGACAGGTTGGTAGAGGCTTTGGTAATCTGCCTTGTTCTCCTTCCAACAGGGAGGAAGTAGTCTTATTCATGCAATATGGACAGTGCAGGGAAAAGATGGATGAAACATTTTAATTAAACTTAATTCTTGAATGGTGTGTGCAGTGGAATTGAAATAGAGCAGAATCAGACGGTGCTTGTTACTGGGCATAAATATTCAGAAGTGTTGCTCCTTTTTAGATAGTATTGTCATTTCATGGCTACAGGGGGTCCCATGAAACAAAAAATAAAGTTTACTCTACCTAACAGGATGCTTAAATAAGAAGTCCAGCTTTTCCAGTCTAAATGTTATTGAAATATGTAAATTTGTGCACTGGAAGGCACATGATCATTCCTGGCAGCAGCTCATTGCATGTGATACTCTGGCCAACCAGCTGTCTTGTCTTTCTTCAGGAATTATTCCCCCTGACAAAAAAATGTCCTCAGAACTTTACATCTATTGGTAAATGTGAGTGGAGGCACTCCTGAGGTAAGTTGATGAGTGCAAGGTTTCCAGTTGTGGTCTTTTGCCCTGGGAGCTTTAAGCATTCTCTTTTTGATGCAACTGAAATTGAAAGTCTTGCTTCAGGAGACCTTGGATTTAATCTCCTTTGACACAGTTTCTTAAACAGTGACTCAGTGGTCATGTTCCCTACTTTTATTTGCAGTGTTATAAATCTTCCCCAGCTGAGCGAAATGGAGCTCTCTCAAGGGATCATTCAAAAATATATTGGAAAAAAACTGAATTTGAGACCATTTCCAGAGGAATGATTGCTTTGGTGGCCTGACATTGTGAGCCTTTATAAATGCCCTGAGTGACAGCTGTGACTGCTCCCCTGGCTGCAGTATCTGCTTGTAAATGTTCTGTTTGGTTTTGATTAATTGAAATCATGTTTATGTGTGAGCAACTGTGAAAGAAATTTAATGGTCCAGCCTCCAAAGTTTCAATCTGCACCAATGAATAATTAAATGCCAACATAGAAAGATAACTTGCCCTAGGAGACCTTAGACTAACTTTTGTTCTGAGAGGGTTGGACAACCCTCAACATAAAGAGGTGAGTAGCAGTAAACAGACTGATGTTCAAACCTGGCATCAGCAAAATCCACAGCTGAATTCAGCTTCCCATCTCATTTACAGTGCCAAATCAAGCCGAACTGCATAGAACCAGGATCTCCCTCTGCTCACTGAATTTATTTTCTTGTCTTAGCATACTGACAGCGTGCTGGGCACATGTAACGCCTATTTTTCTAAAGACTACCTGAAGATGAAGTCGTTGTGATGATTCTCCCAAAGTTCTGTCTTTCCCCTTTTTCACGTAGAACCCCCCGGCCTTGGCGCTGCCCGAGGTGGTGCTGAAGGGACAGCTCCGCACGGGGGATCGCGGGGATGGGGGGCGGTGGTGCTGAAGGGACAGCTCCGCACGGGGCCGTGTTCTGCCCGGGGCTGAGCCGGGGGAGTTCGCGCCCCACTGCCGCCTTTCCCGTTGCTTTTTCCCGAGCTGTGCGGTTGCCATGGATTTGTATGACAGCGAGAGCTACCCTAATGGTGGGGATCTTTGGCTCTTCGCCCCGCAGCACGTCGGTCTCTGGGGCTGGTAGCTCTCAGCCTTGCTCCTTCGGCCCATGTGCCCACACGCTGCTAATTGCATCTGACGGCTGGCGCCGGGGTGCAGCTGCTGGCTCCAGCTCCGGGAGAAGGACACAGACCACTTCCAGGGCTCATTAAAGCACTGCCACAGCTCAGTGGAGCGATGTCCTTTTGTCCTCTTCTCTCCTTTTCATTTTAATTGACAGAGAGGGACGGTCAGTTTGTGCTACAGAAGGGAAGCAGGACAGGGAAGATCCCAGTGGAATGAAGGCAGCTGCTAAGAAGTGAAATCACTACAATAGGCCTCCTGAAATGCAGGGCTGCAGCAGACACTCATCTACACAGAGAACCACAAAATCAAAACTGGGGAGCTACTGAAGTTCAAGTAATGACATATAAAGCATTGTGGTTTATAATAAGTGCTAGGAGTTAAACTGGTGGGTCAGCAATGTGGCATATCTGCTTAATGTCTTGGTTTCACACAGGATGAGGCATAATGGTAAAGCAAGGACCTTAGTGCCCTCTGCTAAGTGATAATGTCTCTCATTGGGTCCAGGGATCCTCCTCTGGGTTCTTGGCAACACATTATGAGATACAGTAGCTTAACTGATGCATGCCACCCTTGTAGCACAATGCTGCTTTCCAAAGTCTTTTCCATTAAGAAAAAAAATCAAAGATAGCCTGCTTGGATTGCTGATGTAAACGATTCCTATTTGGCATGCATTTAATAGAAGAACCAGACAAGGCATTAAAATCAGCATGTGGCATGAACTGGGAAGAGTTCAGTACAAATCTGAGCTGCAGGGACTGTTGGTTAGCCAGAGGGTGTTAAATAGGATGACGTTTTGTAGTTGGGAGGACAAATAAGTGCTGATGTGAAGTATGCAAATAGACCCACTTTTTTTCCCCACCAGAATAGCTAAGGGAAAGCAGAGGAGAAGCTGTGTGCACTGCTGTTGTTAGGGCATCAGCACGTGCACTTGTGATTTCTGAGGGTGCAGTGGTGCATCCTCCAGCTGTGAGAATGCTGAGCAAACATGAGGGGTCACAATGACAGAACTTGAAGGGATCATGCATTTCCCTATCCTTTGAAGAACGCCATGGGAACAGCGTTTGCTGTGATTGCAGTCCATTTTCAACCTCTGTCTACATGAACTCACCTATGCCATCCCTTGCCTGCTCCTGTGGTGAAGGAGGACATTGGGAAGTTGGAAGTTCTCCACACAGCTGACTGCAACTTTCCTCTTGACCTTGATGTCAAGAAGTTGCTGAGGTTTGAGAAATGTTGCAAGGTGTCAGTGGGCTTCTGACTCTGGAACTGTGATGGAGAAAGTGTTTGGGCAGCCATCCCTTTTTAGATCACTACAAGGGCAGAAGCGTGTCTACTCCTTAGTGGGAAAATTTTCTTACACCTCTGCAGATGGTAAAATCCTAATGTGTATCTTCCTTTGACATTCGCTACCCTGGCTGATAATTTAATTTTCTCTGGTACTCCTTGGGGATACTTGGAAAACCCATAACAGCCTGGAAATCTTCCACAGAAGCTGGTAGCTGTAAATGGTTTTCCCTGTGCCTACCTGCTTCATTTCTCCATGAAAAGGAGCTACTATTGCCATCAGACTCGTCATTGTTATTTCCTCTTTTTCAGCCTACAAGGAGAAAATGAAGGAGCTATCTCTGCTCTCCCTCATCTGCTCCTGTTTCCACACCCAGCCACATCCCAACACCATCTACCAGTATGGAGGTACGTAACTTGCTCCCACAGAAGCTGCAGAGCTGTTGACAAATGCTGTGGCTGACACTTTGCTCCCAGTGTGGGCACTCTCATCCTGGGACAGAAATCCCCATCTCAGCTCAGGGTCCTTCTGCTAAGCCTCCTTCTCCAGTTTATTCTGTGTAGATGTGAGTCACATTTTCCCCGAAGGAACTGATCCCAGAGGCTGTCTAGTTCCTACTGGAGTGACACACACTTTGTTAACAGCAGTATGGACTTTCTGTAATTATGCTGTAATTTAAATGAATTGAGTTGACTTAGAGGGGATGAAGCTGATGACTAATCAAGAAATTCTGGAAGTAGAACAAAATTATCCAGGTCAAGACATGGAACTAACACCATTGTTCCTATGTGGAGAGCTCAGTGGTGCCCTCAGGTGAAGGCTCTACTGAGTGTCACAGGTACACAGAGCTCTTGTTTGTTTTTTTTCCTTCTAGATATGGAGGTGAAGCAGCTGGATAAGAGGGCATCTGGCCAGAGCTTCGAGGTGATCCTGAAGTCTCCTTCAGATTTATCTCCCGAGAGCCCCATCCTTTCCTCTCCCCCCAAGAAGAAGGACCTGTCCCTGGAGGAGCTGCAGAGGAGGCTGGAGGCTGCAGAGGAGAGGAGGAAGGTAACGTGATGCCCTGAAGCAGCAGTGGTAGACATTGGCCCAAACCCTAAAAATGGCTGATCAGGAGCAATCTAAAATTGAAAATGACTGCTGATGGTGTTCTTAGGTATTATTCAGATATAGTCAGGTGAGACATGGCGAGGATGCAGTTCTGCAGTCTGGTTTAGACAGGAAATTGGATGTGGTGGCTATAATTGTCCTCTGTTCCTAAAACTGCACAGCTGTATGGAGCCCTGTCTGATCCCACGTGCATGGCCAGGCCATGAGGAGTTCTTAGCAGCTGATGCAGATGTAACAGCTGGTCACATAGCCAGATCAGCCTCAACCCTTGCTGTTATAACAACTTCCTGTGCTATTTCCCACATCACTGTGAATGCCTTCTGGAGGAAGGTGGTCAGCAAGGCTCTGTGGGGTCCAGAGCAAGGCTGAGGGATGCTGTCCCATTGCTTCACCAGACCCAGGAGGCACAAGTGCTGAAGCAGCTGGCGGAGAAACGGGAGCATGAGCGGGAGGTGCTGCACAAGGCACTGGAGGAGAACAACAATTTCAGCCGCCTGGCTGAGGAGAAGCTCAACTACAAGATGGAGCTGAGCCGGGAGATCCGCGAGGCGCACCTGGCTGCCCTGCGGGAGCGGCTGCGCGAGAAGGTGAGGGTGTGGGGTGCTGACACCCATGGGTGGGTGCTGTGGGGTCTAGGGAGGTGATGGGATATCCTGAGTTGGAGGGGACCTAAAGAAATCGTGGAGTCCAGCTCATGGTTTCACTCAGGACCTCCCAACATTCCAACCGTGTTTCTGAAAGTGTTGTCCAAGCGCTTCTTGAATCTGTGTCATGAGCAAGGTGGTGGATGCCCCATCCCTGGAGATGTTTGTGAAGTTCAGGCTGGCTGGGGCTCTGAGCATCTGACTGAGCTGCGGGTGTCCCTGCCCATTGCAGGGGAGTTGGGCTAGATGGCCATTAAATGTTCCTTCCAACTCAAATGGTTCTATGATTCTATGACCACTGCCTTGGGGAGGCTGTTTCATGCCTAGCTACCCTCTGCTGAAGAACCTTCTCCTAACACCCAGCCTGACCTTTCCCTGGCACAGCTCTGTGCCATTTCCTCATCTGCAGGACTGCAGCAGGTTGGTATTGCTGCATTCCTGCCCTGCAATGCTTCACTTCTTGCAGGTGAATCCTCCTGTCCTTGGGGTGTGTTGGTGTGAAACCAACGCGATAGCTTTTCTTTGGCTGGTACCAATCATGCATGCGGGACAGGAGGAAAATAAAGCAGGCAGGAATGGACACTGTTAGCCTGTAGCTCTCTCGTTGCTCACCCACAGCCCTTGGCTTGCCCTTAGGACTGACCACCTCGTGTCCTCTCTCCTGTTTTTGCAGGAGCTGCACGCAGCTGAAGTCCGCAGGAACAAGGAACAGCGGGAGGAGATCTCTGGATAAAGGGCTTTTCTACACATCTAGCACCTGATTCCTGTTAACAAACCGACCGACCGACACGTTTTATTTTGTTTGTCTAGATGCAGCGTTTGGTTCTCCATTCCCCCCCCCCATCCCCTGGTGTTCTTCCCCCAGCAACACGCTTCTCTGTCTGCATCCTTAATCGTTCGGTGCTTGTGGGGAGTCACAGGTCATAGGGACCTCTCAGCAGAATAGCAGCTAGTTCACATGAAATAGAGATCAGTCAATCAAACAGCTTCTTTGGAGGGTTTGTCCTTTTTTCTTTTTAAAAAAATATTTCTTAAATTCATGTAAAAATTGAGATATTAATAAATTCAACCAGCAGTGTCACAGAGATACAGAATTCTTATCTGGGGGCTTTTACTACTCTTGGTGTTTGCTCTGAGCTAAGTATCAGGATAATAAGGAGCGATCATTTTTGTACGTAAGCAGAGCAATGAGCAGAGTGTTAGTGGTGAGTACCAGGCTGGCTGCATGGCACTGCCACGTGGCTCCCAGCCATCCCTGCAGCCAGGGTAGGCAGCAACCCAACGTCCTTTTATTGGGTGGATCTTTGGTAGCCGCTGTGAAAATAGGAGAGGGTCTCAGCACAGAGCTTGGTGCCATGTCATATAATGTCCCCAGTCCCATCCTTGTCCCCATCCCCATCCCCGTCCTCATCCATGTCTCCTTCCCCATCTCCATCCCCATCCCTATCCCTGTCCCCATCCCTGGTGGCTGCAGGCTGAGCCTTTTGCCTCCCATGGGCTCTGTCACCTCAGCTCTGCAGAACCCTAGGAGGGCCCTCGGTCTGCAGGCTGCCAGCCCTCCATGATCACCTCGGAAAGCAGGGACAGGACATGGTGTTGAGGCTGCCTGCTGGCAGGGAGGACATCGCTCTTCCCAAGGATGGATGTGGCTCAGTGGATGCTGAGGACAGGGAGTTCCTGGGCAGCACTTTGGGATAAGGACTTACCAGCAGCAGATGAGGTGGAGCTGAGCAGGAGCAATTCTGCAGGAAGGGTGAGGAGGTGTTCCCATGCTCGTTTCTTGGCTATCTTTAGCTTTTCAAAGCCTATTTTTATGTTGTCTCTTGGTGGAGGTAGGGATGAGTGGAGGATATGCAAGTGTGACAGTGGTAGGTGACAGCAGTGTGATGCAGACAGGTGGCTGCCTGTGCTGCTATTGCCATGGCTTTGGGAGGCAGCTGAAGTCCCAGCACTGCAGGGCTGTGCCCTTGGGACCTTGCACCCGCTCTGCCTCTGCCTTGAAAAGCTAAGGGGAAACACTGCATCCAAAACATTGCATGGAATTGGGTCCAGTTGTGCATGGGATGCAGTGCTGAGCAGCCAGCCCAGTCTGTGGTGGGATTTGGGGCAGGAGGTGATGAGGGTTCCCCTGTGCAGTGCTTTGGTGCTGTGCTTTGGGGAGGGCAGCATGCAGGGGGTGGGCTGCAGGGGTCCCTTGTGCTGTGTGTGGAGCAGAGGGGGATACCCCATTCCTGGAGGTGGGATGGGGCCCTGAGCAGCCTGATCTGGTGGAGGCAACCAGCCCATGGCAGGGGGATGATCTTTAAGGCCCCCTCCAACCCAAGCCATTCTATGATTCCACGATTTGCACCACAGGCTGTGTGCTTCCCTCTCCATCCCTCCCGAAAAGCATTGCTGGCTCAGTTAGGACATGATGTTTTCTGTCTAAGGTACGCTTTAATTACACACACACAAAACAAATGGTTATGACCAAAAAATAAAAGAAAGAAAAGAAAACCCACCAAAAAGCCAAAGGGCAGCACTGCTGGGGGTCCGACCCTGAGCTCTTTGCTGATCTCCCCACAAGTCCCCGAGGATCCAGGAGCAACCCCTCCACGGCCATAGAACATTTCTGGGGTGACTCTGCTCCTGCTGGAAGGGCCCCCCCTGGTGCTGGGGTACTGCAGAGCACTGGGGGCAGAGAGGGAACTGGAGAGGAACCGAGGGTTGACTTTCTTAGCAGTAGCCAATGATCTGTTTATAGTAGCAGCTGTCTTAGATACGCATCGTTGTAGAGCCAGCATCACCTCATCCATATAGTGACGAGAAATTAAAAAGAGAGAAAAAAAAAAAAAAAAAAAAAAGTTTAAAAAAAGAAAACAAACCTAATTTTAAAAGTAATTTAAGCAAAATGTTTGTGCGTAAGAAAGGGTTGAAACTGTCACATGTCTGTGTCCCATGCTGGTGGGATCTGAGAAGGTATCCGCGAGATGTTAACCCCGTCCTGCTCTCTGTGGTGCTGAGTGTTTGCTTGGTGTGTACTTCTGACCTGGAGCTTGTTGTAAATACTGTTTTTAGTACTATGATTATTACTATGATGATGATTATTCTCTGAAATGTTGTACTGATGAGCAGGAGTCCTAAAGGAGAGAGATGAGCACCTTCCCTCTGGAGCGGGGCTGCGGCACCCACCCAGGGATGGCACACAGATGTTCATGCTCCTGTCTGTGATTTGGCATCAGTGCTCGTGTGAGGGCTGTGCCCTGAGCCGGGGGGTGAGACTGAGGTGCTATGGGCTCAGCGGGCTGAAGCTGTTTGCAAGGAAGGGGCTCAGACAGGGGTGAGCCTGGGGAGCATGCTGGTCCCACCCTGTTGGTGCCACGAGGGTTGGGGAGGATGTGGCTGCAGGATGCGCTGCTGCAGGCTGAGTCATGCATTGGTGACTGGCACACACGTGTGGCCAGGTGCTGCCCTGCCATGCCATGGCTGGGTGCTCCCAAGTTGGATGCCCATCACACCACTGCTAGGCTGAGCCTTTTTTTGTCTCATCAGTCCTGAGCCATACAACTGCCGTGCTGTAACCCAGACGTGGGGTTACCTTTGAGTCGACCTTCTGTGGACAATTCATGATCATGTGAACCCTACACCGGGGCCAGCTGCTATTGCTGCCCTGTTACCTGGGGGTGAGCATCCTTGGCGTGGGTTCTGCCTTGCTGCAGCACTCTGTGTGTGCAAAATTGCACTCATGGGAACAGGGTTTGCACTCACACTGTTGTGCCGCTGGGAATGAGGCAGGGAATGGCTGCTCGTGGTGCTGGAGGTTTCTCATAGCCCAAAGCAGGGGCTGGGGGTCCCACATTCCATTCTCAGCCGGAGGTGGTTGTTGTGCAAGAGAAGTGATAACAAAAAGAAAGGAAAAAGCAAGAAAAAGGGTCTGATCCCCATGTGTGCCCATCTCTCTCTGGAGTTGGTTGTTTGAGTTCTAAGGCTCCTGTGTGTATTGTGGGAATACCAATAAAAGGCGTTAAACAGAAAACGAACCTAAAGATTTTACAAAACAGAATCCAAGCCTCTGTATGTTAAATGAGTACTTTGCACCCATACAAAAGATGCAGAAATCGAACCCATCCTTTATCACCGTTCTCAGAGGAAAAGAAAGTAATACAATGCTCAAATGCAGGTACCACCCCGAGCCCTTCACTTAGAGGTGAGGGCATGCAGCGGCGTAACAGAGGACGAGCAAAACGTTATGAGATGATTGCAAATACAATAAATCCAGTTCTGGAAAACGTGTGAGCTTCTTTTCTTTTCAACACTCCCCCGCCCTTCCCCCATCCTCCACCTCCTGTGTAATGTTTCCTAAAGGCAGCACAGCCCGCCCTACCCCCACCCTGGGGCAGCATCCCAACAGAGCCCCAGAGTGAGGTGCTTCCAAAACATCCCCAGTGCTGCAGCATTCAGATCAGTGCCCTTTGTGATTCCCTCAGGTGCTGCCCTGAGGAATCTGCACTGCTGCCTTAGTGGTCCTTCACCAGAATAGGCACTGCCCACCACCCCCAGCCACTCTGGCCCCATAGGAACATTCCCAAAGCAGCATCCTTAGGGACTGCCCCATGTTTTGGGGCCCTGTCCATATCACTGCAGAAGCAGTGCTGGGGCTGCCACACTGCAGCTCTTCCCACGTGCACAGGATGCCACCATCCCCACATACAGCAATTCTATATTTGCAGTGTGAACTTGGCAGTTTGGAAGATAAGAGCCCAACTGGGAACGCAGTGCAGCTCAGTGCTCGGAGGTTCTCCAGCTGCAGCTCCAGACATGGGGTCCTGTAACAACATGGTGATCTGTCTTGTGTAAAACAGAGACCGAGTGCCTTTAAGGCAGAGCCCTCAGCCCCAGCTGAGCTTGCAGCAAAAGGGAGATTTTACTTCCCAGGAGATCACAGACTACAGACCCACTCTCTTTATTGCACCTCTGCCATTGGCCACCATAGGGGATGATGGCAGAGGGAGGCTCCCATGGAAAGGGGTTTTGTGATGTCTGGTGGGTGAGTTGTCACTACTGGTGATCCGGTGGTCTTTGAGCAAAATAAATCTAATGGGTGGCAGCCCTGCCTATAGTATCAGATTGGGATGGTGCCAAGCCAAGCTATGAGTCTGTGAGACTCTGACACCCACTGGGGAGATGGCACCCATAGGAGAGGTGTCCTGAGCTGCACAAAGCGTTCCCACAGACTGCTGTCTCCTCCAGGTGCAAAGCACACATTTCTATCTCCAGTTTGACAATGCATTGCTGATAAAAACAGTGGAACAGTCCTCAGAGAACGTCTCTCTTCAGACCTCAGGATCGGTGGTGGAGCAGTGCAGCAGGGCTGTGAGCATCAGGGGAATGAGGACTGGAAAGCAGCTGCCTGCAGCTGGGCACAGCCTTGGCACCAGGAGCTCACAGGTGGCACCTGAAGCACTGCATGCCCTGCATGGAGTACTTTCTTCTGTATCCAGTATGTTTCACCTCTTTCAGTTTGAAGCCACTTCCCCTTGTCCTATCACACAGACTCTGCTAAAGAGTCTGTCCCCAGCTCCTTTGGATCTGTAAGGCCGCTCTCAGGTCTCCCTGCAGCCCTCTGCTCTCCACACTGCACAGCCTCAGCTCTCTCCACCTGTCCTCGTATGGAGATGTTCCATCCCTTGGAGCACTTCTGTGGCCCTCCTTTACATGTGTTCCAACAGATCCAAGTCTCTCCTGCGCTGAAGACTCACCCTCCTCCAGGTGAGGTCTCAACAGCACAGAGCAGAAGGACAGGACCACCTCCCTGCCCTGCTGCCCACACTGCTTTGCATGGAAAATCCATGCATAAGCACTGCTCTGCACTCCTAAATGGAACAAACGCATGGAAGTGCATGCACACCCACCAACGGGGAGGGAGGAAGGTAGATATGCCCAGCACCCCCCTGCACTTGGCTCAGCTGCATACGCTCCCCGTGCACACCGTGCCCTGTGCTGGGGGGTATGCATGTGGCCGGCTGCATTTGGGAGCAATGGCAGCACGCACAGCGTGTGCACGCAGGAATCTGGGTAGACTCACGGCTCCCAGGGGTCATGCAGGGGCCGGGGACGTGCACGAGGCTTGAGAAGCACGCACGGTGCACGGAGATGCACGCAGGGGGGACACACACAAGGGGCGAGGAAAGACACGGAGAGGAAAGAAATACACAGCAGGCCGGAAACACACGCAAAGCCGGGAAAAGAGCAGGGAGAAACGCGCAAAGCCGCAAAACTACAAAGCAGCAAAGCGGACGCACTCCGCAGCGCGCTCCCGATGCGCGACGCACGCCGCGGGCGGCGGCGCGCGCCGTGCCCCCGGCTGCCCCCCAGCCGCGCACGCGCACTGCGCCGCTCCGCCACTTATTTCACAGGCGGCTCGGGCCGCGGCGCCGCGCTAAATAAGTCCCGAGTGCCGAGCCGAGGCCGTGCGCCTGCGCGCCGCGAGCCGGAGCGGGGGGGGGTTGGGTGGGGGGGGGGGCCGAGAGCCGCGCGCGCGGCGGAGCCCCGCAGCCCCCAACCCTGCGCGCGGCCCCGAACCCGGCCGTCCCGCACCCCGCCCGCCTCGGCCCCCGCCGCAGCTCCCGGAGCCGCAGCGAGCGGGGCCGCGGGGCTTCGGCCCGAGGTAAGCGCCGGGCTCGGGCCTACCGCGGGGCCTCGCGCCGCACGCCGCGTCCGGCCGGGTCCCTGCGGAGCGTCAGGACGTTACGGCGGCGGCGGGAGACGCGGCGGCAGCGCCCGGCCGGCCCCCCCCCCCCCCCCCCCCCCCCCCCCCCCCCCCCCCCCCCCCCCCCCCCCCCCCCCCCCCCCC